TTTACATGGAGGGCAAAACCAGGCTATTCTCATAGTGATTATTAATAATACCAGTTTATAATTTTATTGTTTTGGCCAACGCTACCATTAGTTGTACTTACCAAAGTAATTGACCCGCCCCTTTTTGCTCTGTGCTCTAACAGTTGAGCAAGCATCCCCAGAACCTCTGTCTAAGTCTTCCTTTCCTGTACTTACATATGTGCTAGGCTAATCTATGTTGAAAAGACAACCACAGTGTGAAGATGGTTAAAAGATTAAAAAGCGACAGTTTAGCTAATGTTAGCTATCAGTCGTGAAATAGGTAGTTAGGTTGCTAGTTAGCTAATGTTTTAGTAACCATAAATTAAATGACTAAATATTATATGTTATATGTTACTTTAATATTTAAACTTTCTACAAAATGTGTCTTTTCAACATATATTAGCTTAGCACATAGCATATCTAAGTACAGGAAAGCTGACCGAGGTTCCCAGAGATGTGGGACTTTGAAAGGGTCAATTGTTGAGATATGGAAGTGGGAACTACAACAAAGTCTGACCAGTCAAGGAACAAGAGCAATCCTTCAATTAGACAGGTTGTCAAGACCTCAGAAAATATCAGGCTGTCCAAGTACCTCCTTTATGACCGACGTTAAAATACAGCAGCGTATGCCGACCCAGTTTAGCTACAGACAGCTCACACAGGAGGCAACTTTATTCCTAATAAGATTATTTATTGTTGACTTGTTGAATCCTTAACGGAACCGGTTCAAGAACCAGAGCTAATCTGGTGGAAAAGGGGTCTTCCTGGTCCACACTTCTTTCCAAAAGTTCCTGTTTGGAGATTGTTTTTGAGCCATTCATTTTACCTCCGTTTACTGTCCTACCATCACATTTAAGGTCCGAACTAATCATGGATGTATGCATGTGCTACTTTCATGAACGTAAATATGTAGCAGGCTGATTTTGAAACACAATATTACAGAAAATTCAATGTGTATTTTAAATTACATTTCAGTGATCTCATATTCAATTTACATAACAAACAGTGTTGCTGAAGTGTTGTCTTTTAAGAAAAGTCAGTGTTTGTTTTTCCTTCCAGTTAATTATGCCAGACCTGTCATAATCCTGGGACCAATGAAGGACAGAATCAATGATGATCTTATATCAGAGTTCCCAGACAAGTTTGGGTCTTGTGTGCCACGTAAGTAGTTAATGTGTTAAGTTTCAGGTTGTATTCATGATATTCCATAACAGCTGTAGCATGACGTGATGAGAGTGAAATGGTAAAATCATTGTCTTTGTTTATTGATGTGTTTACCTGCTTACTCATGACCATGATCATATCCACCATGGAGTTTTACGTTTCCCCCCCAAGCATCACCCATTGATCCTTTGTTCAGTTTAAATCACTGATAGCTGTTGGTCTATGGGAGATTCTAAAATGCCTGAATGAAAACAAATCAAACACAGTGCAAAAGCCGCCCTTCAAGATTACAGATATTGTTATTTATAATGACATTCTTGTATTGAGCACCAAACATCTGTAATGGGCCTTCAAACTAGAAAACAATGCCAAAAATGTAAGCAAGTTGTGCTTATTACAAGCAATGAAAACTCAGTTATTTCAGTTATCAGTTATTCTCAGTTATAGTCAGTTATTATACAGTGGCTTCATTTCCGACACTGGGACTAGATTACTTTTTCTTAAACTGAGAAGTTGTGCAAAATAATGCCTCCTAAAATAAGGAAAATAATCTTGTTCCTCTGCTGGCATTATGCAAAACATTGTTGAAACTTGTTAAATCAGAGTAAAGGGCCTGATTTATGGCTAAATAAAACCTTTTTCTCTAATACCATGAGCCCAGCCCCATATTGACTCACCCTAACAGGATCATCCCATTCCTCTGTGCACTGTGTAATGTGTTCTTCATCAGGTCAAAGCAGTTTTTAATTTTGCATGTTTTGATTTACTCATCTCTTTTATTTCAATGTACCTTTTAAACCATATAAAGCTGCCAACAGTTCAGGGCACCAAGGTAAGTGAGCGGATCAGCTGAGTTTATTCTCATCCCTTTATTCACAAAGTGAGTCTTGAAGTAATTTGTCCCCATAAAAACTTTACTCCTTGTGTCCTTTTAGAAGTACTGTTTGTGTAGAATCAGTTTGAATGGTTAGTGTTAATGTACATATATTAGTTTGAAACAGATAATAGTACACTTACTACCTTTGTAGAAGCATTCATTATCAGCCATCTTACTTCATCCAATCCAGTGAAATTTGCTCAAAAGCTTTCCAGCACATTGTATGCTAACAGTGTTCAATTATGAATTCATTATCAACATTCTGGTTTTTGCAGCACATTTGCCCTCCAAGTATTTTCTAATTAATAAAATAACAGTTTTTTTACACTCAGCAAAACACGACAAGACAACATTGTATGTCCTGTTTCCCTATTTGCTTTTTTGTGCAAATTTCATGACAAGCACTTAAAAATGTACGTGGATAACTTTACAGGTACATTCAGTATATTTGCCAAAACCATTTGACCACTTAGTCAGGATTGGTAAGATTTCTTTTTTTTTACAGCACAGAGCAGCAGGATGCTGCCCTATATAAAGAAAATGCAACAGCAATGCCATTGTTTTTGTGATGTAAGACATAGGTTTTATTGGTACTATGAATATCTGGATGGTTTGTGCTAATTACAACAAGGTATCCTAAAATAATCTAATGATAATGTACAGTGTTAATGGTTATATATACACAAAATTCATTAGCCACTATTTGTCGCACTAGAGCACCAGAATCTTGGACCAAAACAATGTGTGCTACAACCCACCAGACTCAATTGAAAAAATGTTTACCTAGCAGATAACCATAAAAAAACACACACACAGAAACAAAATGAAACTAACCAAAATTAGTCTTTCCAACAATCGCCTTTTGTTAACCAGAAACAGACGTAATATCACTATCGCTCGTCACCAGACTCCATAGGCCAAAACTGTAATTTTACTTGCATATCATCATAACATCATAACTTCATTCAAAGTGGACAGAAACAAAATAAAACTCACCAGAACCGTCTTTGTTAGTCTTTCCACTGTTCCAACAATCACCATCTCTGGTTTGGTGGAAATAAATC